TGCGCGTATTTTCCGTATTTCACCCCTGTGAGTGACATACGAAGTTCGAAAATTTCCCGCCATTTTCATTGTTGTTGTTGTTTTGAAAATACAAATGGTCTTTGGTTTGTATTTAAAACGAAATTAACGTTTGATATAAAACGAAAACATTTAAAAGACATTTTGAGATAAGTAAAATTTATTCTAGTTTTATGTTTGCACCATAGTTTTAAAAATATCGCCTTTTACACTGGTCTTTCGCGTGCTTATTTACGTGTCGTCTTTGTGTGTATTTTTGTCACTCAGAATAAGTCCATATAATAAACAGAACATTAAACGGTTGCGAGAAGATATGGATTTATGTTCTCGTGTCAAAAACAATATCTCATTCGTTAGCTGTGCTCACTCGTGAGATATTATTTTTGCCACTCGAACAATAAAATCCATATCTCTTCGCAACCGTCTAATATCCTCTATATCTATTAATGGGGAATGGCAATACTGATTATACACTTAATGTCTGCTCCCGAGGGAAATAGTTAGTTTTATTTTCCCGAGAATCTCAATGTTTCCCGAGACGAAGTCGAGGGAAACATTAAGATTCAAGGGAAAATAAAACTAACTATATCCCGAGGGAACAGGCATTAAGTGTTTTGTTATATAGCGACGAACAAAAATCAACTTCAACAACATTCATACAACAATTGTATTTCGTGACGAAAACTCTATAGTGTAAACGAGTTTAAAATTAAAAGAACCTACTTAAACGGTTTCAGCAGCATATCCTGTTGCCTGTTGTGTATTTTTCTTCTCTTTTATATTCCTTATTTTAACACAAACGTGGAAAATCGTAGTTTCTAATTATCTGAGTTGTGCCTCCATTTTGTTTATTTATGTACGTGGCCGGTCGAGGCGGACAACAATTTTTCACTTGTTGCCCGGCGGGAAACATTGCATTTATCTGAAGTCACGCGACCACAAATCAGCCAATCACGTTTGGTGTCCACGCTAGCTATATAACAAAAATTTGTATTCTCTCATTTGAAACAAATTTTGAAACTATATATTAACTTCTTTTATCGATTTTTCATATCTTGCTTAGTTCTTGAAATATTTTCACTTGAAGTAATGAGATGTCCGCCATCTTGGATAAATTTGATCTCATTAACGGTAGCTTTCGTGACATCACAACAGGGATTAAAGAAGTAAGCAAGATATGAAAAATAGGTACGCATTGCGTACATGTGGTTAGTATTCTATTTCCCAACACTCGCATTCTAGCTCAGTTGATTTAGGTATTGGAAAAAAGTAATAGTCGACAAAGGAAAGTGAGTCGTAGACGAACTTTCTGTGTTTGAAAGTGCACGAATTTTCCCGGGTGGATGGGTGGGTCTGATCGTCTCGCTAAAACGCTCACTTTGTTGCTGACTTGAAGATACTGAGCTAAAACCGAGCTGAATCGCCTTCTTATACCTGTGGTTCTCCATCTACATCCTTATATTTTATTCAAAACTCCTTATTAGGTGTTATTTATTCCTAAATCACCTTCGCATATAATTACGAGTGTTAAGAATAGCCTACAAGATTGGCAATTGTTATAGCGTATAGTTAATTTCGTTCAAAATATGTAAATTAATTGCTCGTTTGCAATCGAGGCCATCTTGGTTGATTTTTCAACCGTTTGTCGTATGAAGCCAGATACCGTATAAACTATCTATAATACAACAACATTTTTAAAAACAAACCAGAAAATAATGCTTGTGATGTTACTCTGAGTGTATATTCATACCGGGCAAGCTTGAAAAATATGCCTGACCACTGTGGGAATCGAACCTACGACCTTTGGAATACTAGCCCAATGCTCTGCCAACTGAGCTACGCGGTCTGGTCGGTTCGAAAAAAGAAAAAAAATCATGATGATCAGATTACATTGATATCGAAGGAACTAGATTCTGTTCCGAAATATCACATACTCGAACCGACCAAACCGCGTAGCTCAGTTGGCAGAGCATTGGGCTAGTATTCCAAAGGTCGTAGGTTCGATTCCCACCGTGGTCAGGCATATTTTTCAAGCTTGCCCGGTGTGGATATACACTCAGAGTAACATCACAAGCATCATATATTCACCTGAGTACATTACACCAACACAGAAAAAAAATCATGATTATCATATTACATTGATATCGAAGGAACTAGATTCTGTTCTGAAATATCAGATACTCGTATAGTAATGTACGTCTATTAATCGTTAACGCACGTATTACGATTAGTTTATATTTAGAATATGGACATTATATATTGAGTTGTTTACATGTAGCCGAGACATCAAGAAGTCTATTAAATAAGAGAACATTATAATGGCGACGAAGATAAACGTATTCTATTAAACGAAACGATGGTGGAAGAGCAGGCAGAGCCTCAACCACTGTAGCAACCGGCTGTACAGATCATGCAATCTGTAACAATAACTCCAATGCCAGAATTTTGCCCAGATGCAAAAATCGGAACAAGCCTTTCGACAAGATGGAACAATTGGCAGTCAGACTTTGAAATGTATATAACCGCAAGTGGAATAACGGATTCAAAGCGAAAACGTGCACTCTTGCTATATCAAGCCGGACCGAGAGTTCGTGAGATTTTTAAACAAATCCCCGAGACAGGAACTGATACGGACTACGATATCGCGAAACAGAATTTAAAGGCTTACTTCGACCCTCAAAAGAATCGGCGGTACGAAGTTTATCGTTTTCGGCAAACAACTCAAGAACACAATGAGACATTAGATCAATTTCACACCAGACTTAGAACAATGTCAGAAACCTGTGAATTCGCAGACGTTGAATTTGAAATCGAAGAACAAATCATTATAGGCGGAAATTCATCGAAAATACGAAAGCGAGCACTGCGTGATCCTACATTTGACTTAAAATCAATGCTTTTAGAAGGACGTCGTGACGAACAGAGCAAGTACCAAGCTCAACAAATCGAATCTAAAGAACAAACTGACGATGAGGCTAATAAATTAGAACAAAAACCTAGTATAAACGGTAGTATTTCGAACAGTAGTAATGTTATTTGCAGAAATTGTGGGCGTGCTTATCCACACACAGGAGCATGTCCAGCGAAAGGGAAAACCTGTAATAATTGTGGAAAACCGAATCATTTCGCTGCTGTTTGTCGAGGAAAACAAAAACAAACGCGATCACCGAGATACCCAAACAAAAAGCATGCACAAAGAAATTTAAAAACATTAGATACAGGATCAAACTCGAGTTCCGATGAAGACTATTCATATACCATGACAAATACAAAGCACAATAACAAGGTCAATGTTAAAGTAGGCGGTGCCAAATTTCAAACAACAATTGACAGTGGCGCGACAATAAATGTGATCGATCGTGACACCTTTAACAAAATGCAAGACCGTAAAATTAACTCGCACGAACACGAAAGCTTTCGCGTATAATACGAAATCACCAGTTGAATTTTTGGGAAAATTCGAAGCGGTAATCGAAACGCAAAAACGAATATCTGTAGCCACATTCTATGTCGCTAAAGCTGCGAACTGTGGAAACTTACTTTCTCTTTCTACTGCACAAGACAAACTGATCTAGATAAACTTTGCATCTAGACAAACTGACATCAAAGGATGCTGCACTAGAAAACATCCTTCAAAAGCATTCTAAAGTTTTTTCCGATCTTGGAAGATTGAAGGGAGAAAAAATCAAACTAGATATAGACAAAACTAAAATTCCGAAAGCACAACCCCAAAGGCGCATACCTTATCACATTCGAGAAAAAGTGAAAAACGCGATAACTGAATTAGAAAATTAAGATGTCATTGAAAAAGTGTCCGAAAATGAAGCTACTCCTTGGGTTTCACCCATTGTAGCTGTTCCCAAAAAAGATGGACAGGTTCGCATGTGTGTCGATATGCGGCTCGCAAATGAAGCTATAAGACGAGTACGCCATCCTATACCAACAGTAAATGATGTTAGTTTTGCCCTGAATGGAGCAAAATTTTTCTCGAAACTTGATTTGAGCCAAGCGTATCATCAGTTAGAACTGGATGAACAGTCTCGTTATATAACAACCTTTAGCACTCATGTAGGTTTGTATCGCTACTAAACTATGGTACAAACGCTGCAGCGGAAATATTTCAGTACACACTCCAAACTGCACTGCAAGGGCTTAAAGGCGTCAAGAACATAGCTGATGATATCATTGTATTCGGCTCAACAAGAACTGAACATGACGCTAATCTTGACAAATGTCTACAACGACTTGCAATGAATTAGGGCTTACGACTAAACCGAAGCAAGTGTAATTTCCTTAGTACTACATTGTCATTTTTCGGACAGGTCTTTTCGAAAGAAGGTACTCATCCTGATCCTAGGAGAGTAGCTGGTCTATTAAATGCACCTCAGCCAAATAATGCACATGAAGTCAGGAGCTTCCTTGGCATGGCCAACTATAGTAGTAAGTACATTCGAGATTCCGCAACACTAACTGCTCCCCTTCGTGACCTGACGAAAAAGGATGTTCGTTTTGAGTGGACTCAAACACCAAACTGCTTTTGAAAAGCTGAAAAACACGCTTGCAATTGCTCCATGTATGTCATATTTCGACAAAAACAAACAAACGTTTGTAACAGTTGATGCTAGTCCTGTAGGAATTTCTGGAATTCTTTCTCAGAAACCAAGAAACGGTGACGTAGACAGTCAACAGATAATTGCATATGCCACCCAAGCGCTGACTGATACAGAAAAGAGATACTCCCTGACGGAAAAAGAAGCGTTAGCGATAGTATGGGCAGTTGAACATTTCCATTTATTTTTATTTGGAAGTGAATTTACACTAATAACTGACCATAAACCTTTAGAAATTATTTATGGTCAACGTACAGCCAAAACATCAGCGCGAATTGAAAGATAGGTGCTTCGCCTCCAACCATATTATACATTTAAGATGATTTATAAATCAGGTGTCAGCAACCCTGCGGACTATCTTTCTCGTCATCCAACAAACGAAAGCAGACGAAAACAGGAGAAGATGACGGAACAATATATTAATTTTATAACTCAGAACAGTGTCCCTAAGGCGATGACATTACAAGAAATAATCAATGCAACTAACGCAGACGCGGCACTAACGGCACTCCATGATGCAATTAAAACAAACAAATGGGATTCCCCAATTGTAAAACCGTTCAAAGCCGTAAAAAACGAACTTACGTCTACCACACACGGTGTTACACTTCGAGGAACACGGATTGTCATCCCTGCGGCTCTACCACAACGTGCAATAGATATAGCACATGAGACACACTTAGGAATAGAGAAAACGAAGTCTCTAATTCGTGAAAAAATCTGCCGCAAATTGACAACCAAGTCAAAAACACAATTGCTAAGTGCACCACTTGTCAAGCTGTCGGACAGGCGAATCCTCCAGAACCATTACGTATGACCGAAATGCCAAAGTTACCATGGAGAACTGTCCACATAGATTTTTATGGTCCACTACCATCGTCTGAATATCTGTTAGTGGCGGTAGATAGATACTACAGATTCCCAGAGGTTGAGATAGTTCATTCAACACGAGCCTCAACAGTCATTCCAAAACTTGACAAAATGTTCTCAGTCCATGGCATTCCTGACACCATTATATCTGACAATGGTCCCCCTTTTAACGGAGACGAATATGCACGATATCTGAAAGCCCTTGGCATTCAAGCTAAGTTTTCAACACCCTACTGGCCCCAAGGTAATACTACAGTTGAACGATTTATGCGACCGTTAGGAAAAGTGCTCAAGACAGCGACACTCGAAGGACGACCATGGAAACAAGAATTGAACCGTTTTCTTTTACAATATCGTACCACTCCACATTGCACTACAGGAGTACCTCCATCATAACTGTTGTTTAACCGAGTGATAAAAGGAAAATTACCAGTTATAAACAGTAAAAAATTGTCAATCGACATAAAGAAGCTCGAGACAATGAGAAAACACGACAAGAACTCAACCGAGAATATGCAAATCAAAGGAGAAACACAAGAAAAAGTGATCTACAAGTTGGAGATTATGTACTGGTTAGACAAGAAAAGAAAAACAAGCTAACTGCGAATTTTAATCACAAACCGTATAAAGTGATAAAGAAAACTGGTTCAGAGATACTTGCCCAAAGTAAAGATGGTCATATTGTGAAACGCAACGTGTCACATTTCAAGCGAATAATAAACCACGAGAAGAAGACACTGATGATGAAGGTTTCGATTATGAAGAAAACTCGCAGAACAATCAGCCATCCATCAGTAATGAAAACAACGAAGTACCAAGAAGATCAAGCCGAATTCGAATACCACCGAATCGATACGGACATGAATATCCATCAAATCTAATAAACTAACATAACAATGAAATAGCTAAATAACTTCAAATTTAATTAAACATTTTGATATTTGACAATCAAGTTAAAACAAAGGGAATGGTTTAGTAATGTACGTCTATTAATCATTAACGCACGTATTACGATTAGTTTATATTTAGAATATGGACATTATATATTGAGTTGTTTACATGTAGCCGAGACATCAAGAAGTCTATTAAATAAGAGAACATTATAACTCGAACCGACCAGACCGCGTAGCTCAGTTGGCAGAGCATTGGGCTAGTATTCCAAAGGTCGTAGGTTCGATTCCCACCGTGGTCAGGCATATTTTTCAAGCTTGCCCGGTGTGGATATACACTCAGAGTAACATCACAAGCATCATATTCACCTGAGTATATTACACCAAAACAGAAAAAAAAAATCAAAACCAGAAAATATTAAATTAACTCTACTATTTCGCCATAAACGGCTAAAATAAATTTTAAAACTCTTTCTTGCCCAGTCCCAAGCTTCGTAGGTCGCTAGAAGCTGCCAACGTTTGTGCGTTCATATCTTGAGTTCAGTGCATGCTAATTCCTTACAATAGTTGTAGTCATTATCAACATTGTAGCGATTTATGCCCTTTCAAAATCAAGTGAGTGTATATTATCAAATTACTCAATTGTTTGAACAAAGATACATATTAGTTGATATAAATAAATGCTGAAGGCTTATGTTGATGGAAATTTCGAGTGTAAGTTTGATAAATTATATGAGCGTTTACTCAAAGCGCAACAAGTGCTTATACATACTTGTCTACCAAATATTTCTCAATATTCTCGTATTTATATTTTATTCTATAAAGCATGATTTCTACTAATTCTCGCACGAAACAACTCGCTAGTGGCTCTTGCATCTCATTAAAAAGGACTTGCAATTAAAATTTCGTACATTGAGACTCCGATCATACGAATTCTGATGAATTCAGAATCGTACATTGTATTTAGTTCGCTTTCATGTGTTCACACGAGAATTGGTACGGACAGCTGGGCTCTAGTTCGTCTGGTTTGATACGTCCTAGGAGAACACCCATGAGAAACCATGAAAACTTGAGTCAACCTCGTCCCCAGGGCCTTTTCCGGAAGGAGGCGAAGGGCAGCAAAGGCCCTGGTAAAGGCTGGTGAAATAATCCACAAATTGTGGATTATTTTGTCACGTGATATATCGGAGCAAATACTATACAGGGGGGTGCGATCGCGGATCGCTTTAGCTACAATATATTCGTCAATATTGCATAAACACCGAAATCGACAAATAAAGAACAAAAATCTATTTTAAAATGAAAAAATCTGTTAAAGTTCTTCCAAAAATATTGAATAAATCTGAAATTGTCTTCAAATTAGCTCTGAGAACCTTGGTTGAACTGTAAAGGAGATCTATTAAATAGACAAAGCAACAGTGTCGAATGGATCGATAGAAGTATTTATACTATGAATTACTGTCGCAAGGAAATTGCTGCCTCGATTGTGAAACAGATATGTAAAATCACTTTAATTTAATAATATGGACTCTCAATACACCATATCTATGATCATCAAAACATTTAATAGTTATTGTTGCTACAATAGATCTTTCTTGCAAATGTCAATATCATACAGTATATTTAACAGTTAAAGGGAGTACAACACCCAAAGAATGTCTGAAAAACAAGGAATGTCAACATCGTATGCACTTGGAATTTAAATGCTTATGTTAGCCCACAGTGGTATAACCTGGTTGACCTCCATGGTTAATTAACATTTCCTGAATTTAATTGAGTTGAAATATTTTATTTGATTTTCATTCTTATCCCAAGAACATTGTGAACACACATATAGTGCTTTGGGTTTAGATTTCAAAGGCCAAGCTTCAAAACAAATGTTGTGATCTTACTGATCAGGCATTCCCAAACAATTACATGCATGAGGGTCAAATCGGACAGAAAGCCTCCATATCCTTTATCAAGGCTGAATAATATAATGAGATGGAATTAATTTCCTCATTATACTGTTAACAAGCTCTTGTTTTTGTTTGTAATCAATTACACAAATTACTTCCCAGAACATTATTTAAGGAGATTATTTGACAAGTCAGCAGGTACATTTTTTCCTGAGCCACAATTGGGGCAATTCAGTGTCACTCATCACAACAGGTGCTCAAAATCACTCACAAGTCACAACATACAACAGGCAGTTCAGCATCACTCACCACAATTGACTGTTCAATACTGTGTACCTCAGTAGGCAAATCAATAATCAATATTTTGCTCGGATCAACAACAAATATCAAAATTGAACTCATTCTCAAAACATGATACAATAACAAGGGGTCTCTTATAGACAAATGCAAGACACCTGGTGTCAAATGTATCAAGTGACAAGATTAATCATCTCTTTTAATTTAAATACATTTTGCCGCCTTGTAATAAAGTACTATTTGTTTTGGGGACCATCAGTTGAGCAATTTAAAACATTCGCAGTGTATGCTTTATCAGACCTAAAGGCACTTGGCTTCACCTCGTATCTTTATACCTGATAAAACTATAGTACATAAAATAATAACCATGATATTTAGCCTGAATATTATTATAAATGTATGAAGGATATTATACATATATTCTTGATGCTCAACATTATCCGATAATCATTTAACATGAAATCCGATAATCATTTAACTATTGAGAATTGTGTGAATTCCTGAATTACTTATTGTTACAGACTGTGCTGACCTCTTGCAATTATGGTTATTAACCAAAATCTGACAATGTCTCTAGTTAACCCATTGAGCTGCAATGTGCCCCAGTGTGCCCTACTTACTGAAATTGACTGATTTGTGGTTTATGGGTTTTTTGTGGCAATTCTTTGGGCATCACAAGTGCATTTGTATATCTTAATACACAGTATTAGTATTTAAATGACACAATATGATGTAAGTTACCTTTCAGGTATATAATTTGTATACAGCATCAGTGGACAGTGTAACTTAACTTTTTTGACCACTTGCCCTCAGGGCAAGTTGGACATGAAAATTGGTTGCCCTGAAAAAAATCCACTTGCCATCAGGCAATGGGGTACCTACGCGGGCCAGTATAAATTAGAGAGACAGCATATCCACTCATTGGACTAGTGGCATTGGCTATGTTACTGTCTCAGATCTAGACTACCTCAGATCTAGCTTTGGCTCACATATTAAACAAAATTTGAATCAAGTACACTTATTTAATGTAACACTAATCACCATTATTTTTTTTTATTAGTTTTACAATAAGAAATTGAAGGCACAGATAACAGGACTAATTAATTCCCAAATTAAGTCCTGCCATAAATTAAATCCTGCCATATTTCGTTATCATATCATGAATAAACATTTAATAACCAAAAAGAGAATCAATGCATAATATAATCAAACAATTTAGATGAATTTGCCAGCTTGAACCAATGTCGTCGAACAGCCTTTATTCTATCCGACAATAATAATATGAACTGAAAGCTGGCCAGCTTTTTGTGGCAAAGCAACTTGCCTGTTCGGGCAACCAAGAGGAAACTTTTACTTGCCAATCATGATATTCACTCGCCCCGGGCAAGTGTTAAGTTACACCTCAAGACAAGACAAGACAAGACAAAAACTTTATTGACCCATTTTTACAACAATAAAAGACATTAAATAAATAAACATTTTACAATTCATTATAGGGTCCTGGCAATCCTGAAATAACCTGGGATAGCTAAAAATACCAGGATGCCAGTTTACTTTTTAATACCGTAATAAAATTATGATAAGTGAGTCGGTAAAAATGGCAACAAAGGCACACAACACACAATCATTCTTAGATGCATTTGCAACTGGTAGCAGACTCCTTAGTATCATTCTGGTTAGTATGTCTGAAAATAATCATTTTTAAATTGAATTTTGAATTTGGAAAGGGAAGCATACCTAATTTCTTTAGGTATAGAATTCCATATAGTTGGACCTTGATATCTAATATTAAATAATCCATAATTGGTTCGAACTTTTGGAATATAATAAGATTCACTCGTGGAAGATCTAGTTCTATAATTATGAACTTGATCAACCCTTGTAAAAAATGACTCAAAAATTGACGGTAGTATATTATTATGAAATTTATACATAAAAATTGAAATATGGAATGTTACAAGATCGGGAAATTTAAGGATTTTTAGTTCCTTAAACAGTGGACTTGTATGCTCATCAAATTTAGAAAAAGTTATAATTCGAATAACTTTCTTTTGAAGAATATGAATGGGGTTCAATGTTGTTTTATAAGTATTTCCCCACGCTAGTAAACCATAAATTAGGAAAGGATAAATCAGTGAATAATAAAGATTTAATAGTATTTTTTTATTAACATAGTGACGAAGTTTTGAAATTATACCAACACTCCTTCTTATTTTTTTAGCAATACTTTCTACTTCACTTTTCCAACTGGGATTAGAATCAATAAGAATACCCAAATACTTGATTGAAGTATCTCGCTTAAGAGGTTGGTTCATCATTGACAAGTTGAAGTTATCTCTAACAGTTCTCTGTCTAGCATGAAATATTACATAATTAGATTTTTCAATGTTAAGAGACAATTTATTTGCACACAACCAATTGTCAATATTAACCAATTCAGAATTTATATTTGCTTCCATAGAGGATAAGTTATTATCCTCAAAAAACAAATTACCATCATCAGCAAATAGCGTAAATTCAAATAATTTAGAACAATTTTGAAAGTCATTTATATATAGTAGAAAAAGTAAAGGTCCTAAAACTGAAACCTGTGGAACACCACAGCTGATTGGGCAGTTGTTTGATGTTTCATTATTTATAGTTACAAATTGCTTTCTGTTACGTAAGTATGAGATAAACCACTTGCAAGCAACGCCCCTTACCCCATAGCAAGATAATTTCTGAATTAAAATTTCATGATTAACAGTATCAAAAGCCTTATTGAAATCCAAAAATATTCCACATGCATAATTACGA